CTAAGCGCCTGCAGTGTACCAGTGCACTCATGCTGTCTCCTGATAACAGAAGCCTTTGTTGACGGGCCAGGATAAAAAAAATTATCTTTAAAATTGTGCAGAGAAAATAGATTTTGCCAGCATCTGGTTTAAGGCTATCGACGTCGAATGTGCGCTCGACTGCGCATCTTTTCGACTGCAAATTTACATTTACATACCATGGCCCGTGGACCGTGGCCGAGTCGAAAAAAATTTTTTAGTCGAGATAAAAGCGACTATACCCTTGTGGTGCTGATGAATGAAAAGAAGAAGAACATTTTTATCAAGTTTCCTTTTAAAATTTCCCACAAATTCTTTCGTTAATTCCTTTTCCATAACCTACTTTTATTTTACCACTGCATCTGAAGTGTAAAGCATTGAAGATGAGTATTTTCTCTTCACAACATTTTGAAATTTCCATTATTAATAGGACAAGGCGCACTTTATATTCATTAATTGTGCCACGAACATGGGCATTTCTTAACGAAACTTTGCTTCATTTTCCCCGTTGAATATACTATTCGGAGCCAATATTATCATCGACGATGAATTCTCATTCGACACTTGTAGACATAAATCGCAAGGTAAAGATTAGCGTCGAGGTGGAGAGCCATAAATCGACCCATGACAGGATTTCCGATCTCGTAGCAACATTTAAATAACGAATATGATGAGGGATTTAAACGTTTCCACCAGCAAACAAATACGCTTTGCAATCTTGAGTCAGTTAACTTAATCCCCAGCTGAACGTTACGTAATCTACATTTGAGGAAATACGTTATTAAACTGAATAAAGAACACGATTTTTAATACCACTATTATATATATGTGCATCTAGTGCATTCTAGTGCAATGAATGAATGAAAGGCAGATCTTGTGAATTTTTTAACTTTGTCTTGATCAAAAAACAACAACTTTCCAGTTTTATCTTCTATGACTATCTTTATTTTTAAAATGTTTTACAACAGATTTTGATTCAGCAAAAAGAAAATCCATTACATTGCCTAACTTTGATAGAGACGAGTAAATATCATTGATATCGCGAGAATTTGAAAACTTAAAAAACGAGTTGTGTAAAAGTTTTTAAAATTTTTTTGTGTGTAATTTAACGGAAACACAAATTTCCGAAACATTATATGGTTCTTTCAAAGCTCCTAAGCTCAAATGACTTGCTTGAATTTTAGTATTGCGGCTTGTGTCTTCGCTGATGGGGAGATAACTTTGCAACACATTATTTCGGTTTATGTCTTTAGTAAGGAGAAGTACTTAACGTTTAGAAAATCGAACGTAATAATGACTTATAAAGAAAATGTAATAAAAATAAAATGATATAAAAATAATAAAAAAAAAATAAAAAAAACATAATAAATTAAATAATAAAATAAATTAAAATAAAAGAAGAAAAACTTTAGAGTGAGCCACGGCCCGCCATACTGCAATTTTTCATATAAATTTGAAAATAAAACGTTATACGGAAAGTGGCCCGATCCTTGGCAATCATCCTTGGGCGAAACAGGACAATGTCGAAATATCTCAGAAATGGCACATACAAGGAAACAATTTAAATAACAACAAGATCGACAGACAAAAGTAATTTTTAATTGGTTGCTCAAATAAAAGGTGGGTCTGTCTCAAGTCCTTGTGGATGTGCCGTACATGCGGTACAGGTGGTGTAGGGTACAAGAATATAAATAAATATATATATTTAAAAAAATCTCTTCGTATGTTTTCTTTCATGTAAAGATTCAAAATTAATTCAATATTGTTAATTACCTCGTAGCATACAAGAAATTTTTGTAAAGGAACTGCAAGACTTCAAAAGATATGAGTTTTGTACGGTGAGATAAGGCTGAAAAAACGTGTTATTAAATGTAAAATTTATATGCATTGTACTTTTCGTGTTACTTTAACGTTTAATTAACTGAACATACAAGTTACTCGTATTTTCTGCTATCGCCAGACGAAAGAGAAGCATGTGCCCAGACAAACTCTAGTTCGGTTTATACTCATTATCTAAAAATTTTGAACTCGCATTATGTAGACTAATAAAAAAAAATCATTTTTAAGTATGTGCAATCATGGCATTCAAGAAGCGCATGCATATTTATTAAGTAATATTTATGGTAAATTTAAATCTTGCTCTCTCTTCCTTCATAGCTGTAAAAGCAAACAAGACCTCAAAAAACCGAAACGTGATATAAACTCATTTTGTTTACGATTTTCACACTGACTGTAGACGAGCGTTTTTTTTTTTTTTTACTTTTTTATACCCATCACTGAAAAATTAAAGGCATTTTCATTTTGTCAAAACGTATGCAACAACCAGAAGGAAACGTCAGAGATCCCATTAAGTATATATTCAATATTCTTGATCGTATGCAGCAGCTAGAGGGAAGCTTCAGAGACCCCCTTAAATATATATATATTCAATATTCTTGATCGAATAATGAATTCTTGATGCAATATTCTTGATCGAATAATGAATACTTGATAGAATATTGAATATTTCATTACGTTGTCGAAACGTATGCAACAGCTAGAAGGAAGCTTCAGAGACCCCATTAAATACATGTTTCATTCCTTTGTCAAAAGGTATGCCACACCCAGAAGTAAGCTTCAGAGACGCAACAAAAATTTACATACTTTTGATCGCTAGGAAATGTCAACCATTCCAGACAGTTAGTCTATGTCAGTCTGGTCAGTATGGTAAACGCTGTGATGTATGCTACAAAAATGGAAATTTAGTTTTTTTTTTGAGTCTTTTTTTTTAGAAGAACGGTAATGGGTATAAGAGATTCTATGGCAGCCGAATAGAATTTTCTTACTATTTTTTTTTTTGTCAGCATTTATCGCACACATTCTAAAAGAGTGATTCAAAACAAATCGAACTTATGTAAGGTTTGTAAGTAAATTGCGATTTATTTTAAATTTGCATTTACATACGCATCGTGGAAGTGCAAAAAAAATATAATTTACAAGTAATTTTTTATAAATAGCTGGCTGTATGCGCTTGCACTTATATGAATTTATAAATAAGTAGCGGCTGTAACAACATATTTACGAGCAGAACGAAACGTTTTTGAGCAACAGTAATAATAATGCAATTGAAACTTAATTTGCATTAGCTACTACAACATTAACTGCATTGAATGGGAGATAAGCAAGGAAACGTCTTACTTGCGGTGGCAGAAAAGAATGGGGAGAAAAAAAGCAACTAAGGAAAATGTTTACCACAGAGATTACACAGACAGACAGAGGAGCATGCTAAAGTCGGGTTAAAATTTGATGCTAATCAAGAATGCATATACATTACGTCATCTCTGAGGCTTTCCTCTGGGCGTTGCAGACGTTTTGCGAAAATGAATACGTCCCTCATTTTTCGTTAATGGGCATAAAAAGAATTATCTTAAAACCCTACCAAAAACTTTACAAAAATTGTGTCAATTTTAATTAGAAATTCAAATTCAACTGTTGATTTTATCGACCAGCATATTAAACTTACGCTCTGAAATAGGTTTTTAGGTTGAAGGTGTTGTTTCTGCCGCTTTTTTTTTTTTTGGTTTTTTTTTATCTTTTGTATTCCTTTACACAACAAAACTGACGTTATATTATACTTTACTACAGCAAAGGGTTGGCAATGGCGGAGTTACCCTCGTGTGTATAAACCACATATATAAATAATATGAACACATATTGAAACAATGAATCAATTCTTGCTGTTGCTTGATAGTGGCGATAAGTGTTACTGAAATGTAGTGAAAAAAAAACTGTGACTTTTGCACCTCTATGTACACTCTTTAAGGGCAAGATATAGTGCGTTTCTATCACGGACACGGATGACAAAACACCGCACACATAAACAAATGCTCCCAACATTGAGCAGGAATATGGTATCCTTCTCGTTTTATTCATCAGACATGGCTTTTTTTAAATTGATAATGTTTTTAATCGATGACGTGACGTCTGCTCGAGCAAACTGAGCTGCACGGTTTCTAGGACGATAATCAGCCACAGGGCCCGATGGTTGGGTAGCCTTAAAGGATCAACTGCGCTTTCGCCACGAAGTTCATGTCCTGCGTAGGACATAGGAAGAAGAATACTTTGCGATCGACTCGCATACTAATTTCCATTCATTACACCACTTGTGGTACATGAACATATTTTTATAAGTTTGTGCGGATATATGTAACATTCAAAACAACTTAAGAGAGATAAATCCACTTTTTATTGTACCGATCGAATCACAATCAGTTCCTGAATTGATATAAGTTCGTCTATCCGTCCGTCCGTCCTTCTTGCTTTTTTGTGTTCAATCCACAGGCCGGAATTTTTGAGATATTTTGGTGAAATTCGGTACATTGACGTGTCTTAGCTCAAGAACAAATTCCATTGAAAATGATTCGGATCGAGCCACTTTTTCGATTGTTTCTCATATAACGCCTTATGTTAAAAAGTGATTGTACAAGGAACTGTAGGTTAGTACAATGTTTCACTTGTCTTTATAATAATTTATAATTTTTACTAAAAAATCAGCTGAAATCTACGCGCACGCCCAATATATATATTCTCGACAAGCATGATATCTCGCTTTGATTTAGTCTCGTAACTTTTTCTTTCCGCCTGTTAAGGTTAAATATTCTCATTTGACCATCGCGCCCATTAAAGCAAAGCTGCATTTTGCAACTCATATATGGTCCAACCCAACTGTGGTCTTAATAGATCAACTTTTACAGATCAGATTTTTTACATATTGGCTCGGGCAGCTGAGTACCAAAGATTTCGTCTAAGGGAATGTTATTTTCTTGCTTGGTATTTTTTCACATTTGTCTAATATTTTGCTGAAAAATCAGTTTCATCAGCACTTTGTGAACATATTACCGTTTACCGTATTAAACTTGATCTTAGATTTTTCTAATCACAATTTATCTGATGAATTCGCAAACAAGCTTAAGTGAATTTAATAATTTTTATTTTACTTGCAGGGCTACCCTAAAAGTGCTATTTTCAACTGTAATTGCGGTTAAACGTCAAAATCGCTTGCATGCGTATTTGTTTTGATCGGCTGTGCTTCGCTACTAAGAGGCCAGCCACATCAAACAGCAGTGTAGCAAATGATCCGCAAACGCTACTTCAAACGACTACATCAACTACTACTGCAGCCCTATGCTGTAATGTTACAACGACGAATACAACGACTGTCATTACAACAATTCCTTGCCCAACGTCTACGTCATCGGCAAATACAATAACATTGATAGCAAATAGTCAAGCAATCAAATCTAATCCACAGCAGCAGCAGCAGCAGCAACAACAACAACAACAACGTTCTAATTCCAATAGTAAACACAGCGTAGCAGACACTTTTTTAAGTTCAATCGATGGTACTTCAATAAATGCCTTAGATCCGCCGACAAAGACTCAAAAACAAAAACATAATCATTTAGAATTAAAACGAATCGATAAAGACTCATTGTTAGGTTCCCCGCTGCAACCAACCGCTGTTTGCGATATAGCGAATACCAATAAAATTTTAGGAGAACACAACGTAATAAAGCCGGAAACTGAAAAAATTTCATTAGCGGAACATAAAATCGAAACACAAATAAAAACAGACACCCAAGCACAAGATCATCGATTGCGTCACAGCAGCAAAAATCAACCAGCCATTCGGGCGTCAAGTGCCGTCGACGGCACAAACGAAAACCTAACGATTAACGACGACGACGCAGCTAAGGTGAATTTAGGTAAAATGCAGCAAGAACCGAATGCCAATATACAGTTCCAGCCCGATTTGGGTCTCGTAAGCAACAATAATTTGCAAACGCTTAGTGGCACGCTAGACAGTAGCACGGGCGCCATACATTTAACACTACCGCTGCAGACAACGGATGTTTTAACGCATACACTCATCTATGGTACTGTACCAACGGCCGCTCAACAGCTAAATACTGATCCGAATTTACAAACGCGCAATATATTGCATCAACAGGAATTGCAATTGCAGCAACGCTATCAGCAATTGCAGCAATTGCAGGCACAAACACAGGGAATATTTGCGACCGCCTCACCAGCACCAATAGTCATACAACCTACCGCGGGTGGTGTCACGGCCGCGGGGGCAGTTTACGCTACAACTGCAAATCCAACCGAATTTTGTGCACCGTCATCTATATTAGCCGATCAAATGCAAGGTCTTTGTATATCCGCTCCCGCTCCGGCAATTATGGATCCCACCGCTGGTGGTATCAATTTGCTTAGTAGCTCGTATATACCAGCAACGCAGCAAGAGGAACGTCTCATACAAATCATACAAGCGAAGGATCTCAAAATCCAAGAAATGCAACGCGCCATACATTACAAGGATACCGAAATCGCTGAACTGAAATCTCATCTCGATAAATTTCAAAGTGTTTTTCCGTTTTCGCGAAGCGGCGCCACAACGCCTTGCGGCAGTGCTAGTGGTGGCCGTAAATCGGGTCAATCATTTCAACGACAACGCGCTCAAGGAATATCTGCTGAACCACAAAGCGAATCAATGGTGTTACTCGACAATGTTACCTTTCCTAAATATGAGAAGGACGAAAGGTGAGTTTAAAAAAAAAAAAAAAACTGTTTTTTTCTTTTATAATTGAAAAGAACTATAACTAAGATTAGTGATCACTTTTGATTGTTAGTCGTTTTACAAGTCTTCTGCACTTTTCCCGGGAACTTAAAATTATTGGAGGAGTTCTGGTTTATTATCAGTCTTTAGAAGAAATTAGCGACGATTGAGCGTTAGCCAGTCATTAGCAAGGGTGATTATATAACTATGTTCTGAGTTAGATGCAAAAACTCCCAAACTTTTTTTTCTTCTCGTTTTTGTGACTCGATCAACTAGTCTTTTAACAAAATTGGTAATGGAGTCCTCCATAGCGACTATTACCCTGGAATACCAAATCTAATACAAAGTCACAATGACTGTGACAAGACATCACACAGTTTTCTCTTACGACTCGTAAGCGAGCATAGCTTCAGACTATGCCCGTTAGTGAAGCTGCGAAAGAGAAACACTACTTTCTTCCAAACCATCCGATTTGCCGTAGGTTCAATAGGATTTTTTCTAATACGATTTTTCAGTTCAAACGAATAAATGTTTCTTTCTTTCTTATTCGTAACTAGCACTAATGAAAACATCAATATTTTCATTTCATTTCCGATAAATAGTAAAACTGAGAGAGAGCAAAGGAATATATATATATATGTACATATCTGAACCGGTACTTTGTGTCCATTTAGCTTTGTTTGCCGCTCGGGTCATGTTGTTCGAATTTATGTAATCGCAGAAATTGGAAAAGAAATATAAAATAATAGAAAGCGATCAAATATTTGGATGCGAGGCGAACGTGTGACCGATCGGCTCAATAGTGCTCGCACAATCAATAACAAAGCTTTTGGGGAACACCACATTTGCCAGGAAGTGTAAATCAAGTCCCACGCCTAGCAGAATTTCAGCTATTCTAAGCATGCGATTTATTCCCCTTTCATTGGGCATTTTTGCAAAATAAAACAAAGCATCTGAACTTAATGTAAATAAATATCTTGCGATATTAAAGAAAATTATAATATAATGTAATATAAATATAGTATGGCAGGAGTAGGTAGGTATGGAAATTTACTTTCAGTTTTATGCGTTTCGTGTTCTAAAGCGAAACGTAATTTATAAAAATTGTAGCAGAATTACTTAGAGATACTTGTGGCGATCTTCGTTATTAGGTATAATGCGTACAATGCTCACATAAAACGTAGCAATATGAATGAGCAAATGAGGAATATCTATAGATAGATAGCTAGCTTATGCTCATCGTGGGATTTGATTACTGGCAACGAAGAAACCAAAATTGCCTGAAGAAGAAGAGGTCAGTTTATAGTCAATTCGCAGCATATATCCTGTAAATACTTTCCAGAAAATTAGGGCACGTCACTTGTGCTCTGCCTCGAGCATATGATGTTGCAAACAACATCGAGATCAGATCTCCTGTACGGTATAGTTTATTTTTTCTTGATTTACTTTTTTTTAAATTCGTCCCTTGTTACACGAATAGATGACATCCCCTGAATGATTGGTCCATGCTAAGAAAAGAAAAAGAAGAAGCTTTTAATCTTCGCCGCTAATAATGAGATTAGTTAGTTATTTAGTATTGTACTTTACTGTTGGGCCCATGATAGATATTGTAATCTATTATGATAAGGTTTAGTGGCTTCGACTTTACACACCTTTCAATTTTATAAAAATTTCATTAAAATTCCGATCATTTAAATAAAACTTAATCACACCACTCGCTGGACAAGCGTTAAGAAGCATCTGCAATAAAGTGATTTTCCTGCTATGTCTGTTTCTCTACCCATGTATCGCTCACTTCAGAATTTTCAAAGACGTATATTTGGCACATTTGTGCTTATTTTACGACCACAGATAGAAGGTGTTTGTGATTCGCCCCAACATTTTTCGCAATTACTGAACGTTATTCGAAGTAACTGAAAGTATTAATACACACCACTATGGTCAGTGGCGTAGCCAAGTGGGTAAAAGTCGTGGTTCGTGGATCCAAATCTCGTTACTGTAGACCATAGTTGGTTACGTTTATCGCTAAGATATAACCACTACCGATTGGGCACGCACCCACTCTTTACCTCTTTCCTCTCTTCTTTGCGACCATCTATCTTTTACAAGTAAAACCAGCGCACCCTGAATTATTGACCACATTAAGAAAAAACAAACATTCCAAGGTAACGATTTATCAAATTCGAAGATGTGCATGCAATGCCCCGAATGGCTTCAGGTAGGCTCAGTATATCTTATACTAAGTTCGTCCGTCTGTTTATCTATTCTTTTGAATCTTCACTGTACAAATTTCTCAGAAAATGATTCTGAATCGTTCGCTTTAATAAAAGCTTAATCTTTCTGTAAGAGCTCCTCGATGTTACTTACATCCTACTTGATGGATGTGAGTGTCCTCTATGCCACAAATGGTGCAGAGCAGAGTACAATTAATCGTAAATGACATCGGTCCAAGTTTTGAATTCACTTCCATATAACTAATTTTTATTAAATTTGAATTATAGCCGGTGAAGTGATGTAGCTCATCTCATAATCAGACTGACCTAATTATAATATTTTTAATTGTTTTACAGCACATGCAATATTCTTATGGCGACCACGCAAGGTCACATTGTACACTTATTGCATGCAATACGTATCATACATAGTTCTTCAAAATCCTACGTAAATTTTATATCAACGAAAGTGTTTTCTCGTAATTTGTGCTCCTTTGACGCGTGACATATTAAACTTATGGCCACGATAGACTTTGGTGACTTCATATTTTTTTTTTTGCTTGGATGAATTACTTAAATCACTGAAAATTCCTTTTCGTTTGTCGAGAATTATATTTTGGGACACGCCTCACTATCAAATACTCCAGTATCTCACTTGGCTTAATACAATATTCATATATAATGATTTTATAAAACATTATATGGAGAGTAATCCAAAAAGTGACTCAATTAATAGCGTTCGTCGTTAGGCCCGAAACATCTCGGTTTACCAAATTTCATTAAAATGTGTTAAAAATTGTTGTGTGTTTGTTGAATACAAAAAAACGAGACGGAAAGATGGAGAGAGGGACAGACAAGCTTAGAATCACATTCTGGTAGCAATCATTTCTGGTCCTTCCGTGTGCTGCGCAAAGTTAATATGCTGTATATATAAATGTGATGAAAGTTGAAATACTTGAAGGTTTTCCAAGCAACATTTAAATAAATTTTCTCTAAATATTTCCGAACAACTTTTCTATCAAAAGTAAAGCGAAAGCATTTCAAAAATATCAAGTAGTTCTTATGATATGATTTATGGCTGCCTAGATAGATAAAAATAATTTAAATCATTAAATAGAATTTGATTTCCTATTAAATTACTTGAAAGAGAAAAAAATATATATATCTATGGGTTTAACTAAATACGTTGTAAATAACAACAACAACAACAAAATATCTAATAGACGTTGAAAAACAAATAAAGGCACATAAATACCCACATAATTTTGTTAAGGAAAAACAAAAATAAACGTATGCAAATATTACGTAGGCGTACACACGCCCTGCCTATCAACACTTGATTTGTAGAAAATAACAATTAAATACGCACATACGTGTACGTATATGTTAAAAGCGGTATAGGTGGCAATTAAAAAGATATTATAGAATAATTATTAATTCATATCTTGGCGACGGTATGTGAAAGTATGTATAACATGTATATATATATATATATATACATAAGTATGCTCCTCCTTCTAACTGATTAAGTAAACTGTTCGCGAACAGTGATAAACATAAGCATTTTTTTTTTATTTTATGTTTGTTTATATAAAGCACATAATTTTTATGTATACATATACATATACGTACATATGTTACATGTACATATATATATATATGGATATATGCATATGGCTATAAATGCATTTATAGGCATATTTATAATGACCGTTTTTTGACAGTTTTGACGTTTGATCTGTCAAAACTCGATGTTTACTTTTCACACTAGTAGTTAACGTCACAGTCGCAATCACCGCGTCACTTTGATTTATGTATTGACAATTTATTTGACAGTTTTTATAAATTGGAATATATTTCTTACTCAAAGGGGCGACGAATATTGTAAATAAACTCATAATCTAATCACAAATTTAAGAAAAAAAAAATTAAAAAAAAAAAAAAAGAAATCAACCGGGAAGTAATGAAAAAATTGAATTTTTAATGTTTATTGGATATATTAGGTATATCCATCCGTTTGTTCATTACATACCTTGTAAGAAGAATATTGATTTTATTGCTGTTGAGTTTTCAAACTCCTAAACATTAAGAAAATTAATGTTGACTACTGAGCTCTCGTTGATGTCGGTCAGACTACGCCAGTAAGTCAAGCGCATATATTCTTTACTTTTTCATGGTAAGAACCAAGAAGCATGGTACCTTCATGGTTAACTTAGGTTTACAAAAGAAGTTTAATGCCAAAGTAATGTACGTCCCTCGCAAACCACCTTAATCAACAATATAAGCATCGAATCAAGCTTGGGATGTATTAGGTTTGCTGTCTCGTCTACAACTGCAATCACACATTTTTTTTAATTAAACTTACAAAGTGTGGATTTCAAGTATGCCGAATAACTTAGATCATATGCTCGCCTTTATTGAAAAATTGTATTGTCACGTCAAAAAATTAATTATTTTATTCTATATATCATCTATAAAGTAAATCGCATTAGTTGCAGTTTAGAACTTTTTCAAATCCAATACAAACATTATCTTGACTGATCAATAGATGCGCCCGCAAGTTTTGCATCTGCCTACGAAGGACCGGAGTATTCTGTAACTTCTGCCGTTGATAAAGCCGGCTTTTACCATTCGCTTGCCTTGAAGGCAAGAGACGACCTCTCTCCTAGACGTATACTTAATTGGCGTAGGATTCTGAGAAGATCTATAGTTTTTTTAGTCCCCGCTTTTTCTTTTGGAATTCATCTAATCACAAAGGTGCAAGGAGAGAA